CATGAGGACTAGGTTTCAGGGATGAGAGATTGGGGTGTAATTCTATAAAGGTAGATTGAGATGAGTCTGGGAAGAACCTTGATTGCCAGGCTGAGGGGCTTGGCATAAGTATAGATTTTTTAAAATCTTCTTTTAAGGGCATCAGACCGTTGTAGAAGCAAAAAACTAAAATTTTGGAGAGAGAGGAGCACTTCCTCAGTGAGTTGATATGGCCAACCATTTAATTCTCTGGGAACACTTATAAAGTCTAGGTCTATACTGAAGATTGAGTTTGGCATAAGCAGATAAGCTCTAGTAGGGGAAAGAGAAAGTGGTGGAACACTGAATACAGGCTGATAGGACTAAGTGAAATCTAGAAGAGCCCTAGATATATGGTTGGTTTTCAATGTGAGACATTCACTGAGTGTTTGTAGGTGAGAGGATATGGTGTATTGGGAGACTGGGACAGAAAAATTCCCCAGGAATATCCCTCGGTGTTATTTGGGGGTAAATGCTTAGGAGACAGAGTTCCACTGGAATGAAGGCCCTAATACACACCTCAAGTCTTGTTCTTGAGACATTTGAAACTAGAGTAGGACTATGTCTAACTAAAAGTGCCATTTAACACTGATCTAGCTCAGATTTTGGTAAGAATGAGGTGATCTGCCTTGTATTCTAACATAGTAAAGAGCAAATTGTCTCCTGTTGAAAATAATATTGATTTTAGTTTTTATGATTCTCTTTTACACAACATCCAACATATAGTAAAATGTTATGAGGTCTATGAAGAATCAGGAAATATTTGAAGATATAATGGTGAAGACCTTTCCAAAACTGATGAAAGAATCAGCCCACAGATTCAAGAAGCTCAGCGATCTCCAAAAGAAACACATAGGAAACCACCCCAGACAACTATTGTCAAACTTCTGAAAACCAAGTAAAGATAAAGTCTTAAAAGTACCAAGTGAAAAACTAAACATTATCTACAAAAAGAAAAAAATCATATCTGACTTTTAAACAGAATGATACCTGACTTTTCACAGAAACTATGGAAGTTAAATGACAATGAAATGACATTTTTAAAGTTGTAAAGATGTGAGAAACATCAAGAATTTTAAAGCCAGCACATCTGAAAATTGTGTATCTAGTAAAAATACCCTTTAAAAATTAAAGCAAAGTAAAAATGTTTTCAGACAAAAAAAAAAAAAAAAAAATAAAAAAAAAAAAAAAAAAAAAAAAAAAAAGCTGAGATCCATACTACAAAAAGTATTAAAGGAAATTCTTCAGTTGAAAGGAAACTTATTCCAGATAGAAGCATGAAATGCAGGAAGGAATGAAGCACACAGAAAGGGTAAATATAAAAGAATATTGACAACTTAAAGTCACAATTACCATATTATGTTTTTACATAAATAGAATTAAATCGTTTAAAGGTTCTTCCATTGTTGTAGAAGCGGTAAAAATATCCATTTAAGTTTGAGCCAGAAAAATCTCATAATAAGTCAAAAATTCATTTTTATTTTTAAAATATAGAAGGTTAAAATTCTAATAGAGAAAGTGTAATAATAAAAATGCCATTAATACAAAAGGTGGCAGGAAATAAGGGGTATGGGAACAAAGAAGGGACATATCAAAAGCAAATACAGTCAACTTAAGCTCAGCTAAATCATTACATTAAATGTAAATGAACAAAATATTATGATTAAAACTCAGATTTATTTTTCACACAAAAAGGTAAGATTTGTAAAAAAANAAAAAAAAAAAAAAAAAAAAAAAAAAAAAATGCCAATAATTTACAACTTACATAAAATGAATAAATTTTTTGAAAAATACAATTTACCAAATGTAACTCAAGAAGAAATAAAAAGTCAGAATAGTCCTGTATGTGTAAAGGAAATTGAATTTGTAGAGTTGAAGGTCTAATTTTAAACCTCACCATAGAAAAATCCAGAATTTTCAGCTTCTGTGTAGGATACAGAGGCCAGAAAAATTATGTTCCCAACATAATAAGAAAAAGCCAGATAATCTACAAAATCATAAATGTTTACGGATCCTTTAGAAAGTGGATAATCTACAAAATCGTAAATGTTTATGAATCCTTCAGAAAGCTGAGATCACAGGTTAACCAATTAGCCTGAAATTTAAGGAAAAACAACTTGTACCCAGTTGAGACAGGAGGCAAGCACTGTTTCACCCAAAGCAGGGCATGGAATGAAGACTAGTTGTTACACAAGTGGATAAAATAATTCATTTACATCTGTGAGAGTATAGAAGCTCCTAGAACTTCAGACACTAAAGGATGTGTTCAAAACCACTTATAGACTCTTCCCTGTGGATGTTCACTGTGTGATCATCAGAAAGATTGGGAGAAAGGCTGGAAACCATAGAAGATTGCTTTGGTGGTGCAGGCATGGAGAGAAGAATGGTTGTTGAAAAAAATAACCAGGAAGCTCCATTTGAATGCCTCTAACCTACAGAACAAAAGCATTAATTCACTGCAGGAGAGGCATCGCTGTGACACCCTGAATGAATAGGTGAAGATGTGTTCCAACTTGAGGAAAGGTAAAGGAAAAGTAACAACAAGAAGCAAACTAAAACCAAACCTTGAACATGAAGAAAGAACAGGAAAATGTCTTGGGACCAACAACTAGAGACCTACTACATCAAGTGAACATGCAGGTGCACTAAGAGAGCCCTGCTCCTGAGACCCTGGGGCATAGGGCCTGCCTAAGACTGGAAGCTGGACCAGGACAACAGAGAAACCACCAGACACCCACCTTCCATTTCCCAAATACAAGATCCTCAATGTGTATGCCCCTGTCACTTGAGCTTCAAATACACAAAGCAAAAACTTATAGTACAAACATAAGCAATGTAAAAATATGCATTTGTAGTTGGAAACTTTAACACTCCCTTTAAGTAATCTATAGAACATAGACAGGAAATGAGTAATGATATAAAAACCTGACCAACACTATCAACAATCTTGTCCAAATTGACATTTGTAAAGTCCTTCTGTCAACAATAACAGAATACACATTCTTTTCAAGTACACATGAAATGTTTATCCAGACAAGCTATATTCAGTCATAAAACAAACCTTAACAAATATAAAGAATTGAAATCATGTAATGCATGTTTTTGATCATAACAGAATTAAACATCAATAATAGAAAAAAAATTTGGAAAAAAATCCCAAATATTTGGAAGCTAAATGACAAATTTCTAAATTTCTAATGGTGTTAAGCAGAAGCAACAAAAGAAATTAGAAAATATTTTGAATTCAATGAAAATGAAAAGAGTATATCAAAATCTGAAAGATGCATCTAAAGCAATGCTTTGAGGAAGATTTGTAGCATTTAAGGTTCATATTAGAAAAGAAAGCCTTAATAGCCTAAACCTTCATCATATGAAACTAGAAAAATAAGAGCAAATTAAATCCAAAGCAAAGTTGAAGGAAATAAATGAGGATAACAGCAGCAATCAATAAATTTGAAAACAGAAAAACCGTAGAGAAAAAAATAAATGGAACAAAAAATTGGTTCTATTAAAAGGTAAAATTAATAAACCAAAAGAGAGAAGACACTAATTACAAATATCAAGAATGAAAGAAAATAGCACTACAGACCTTATAGACCTTTATTCTACATTGTGGCTTTTTCTTTTTTTTTCTTGCTTATTTTTGACAATTTTATCAGGTTGCCATTCATTTCATGTTTGCTTCAAGAAGGAAGAAATTAATATTTAGAAGGTAATATTGACAGTATTTGAAAACCACTTGAAAAGGAGAAAAGGAAATGAGGGAGAGAAAGTCAATTAGATGGAACCTTACCCTGAGATGCCAAATTCATAACAGAAACTTTGTTGATATGTTATTTTCTGGGGAATGTGAGTCTGAGTGAGATAATAAATTCAACAAGGGGAATACTAAATTTCATTTATCTGAGGGACATTCAAATAAGGATGTCTAGTAGGCAGATAAATATGTGAGTTTGGTGTTTGAAGGGAGGTCTGAAGTAGAGATTCAAGTTTGGGAGTCATCAGCTTACAGGCAGTATTAAAACCATGGGAGTAGACAGATGGTATGCAGATTGAAAAAGATGAGGCCCAGGATGATGTCCCCTGACCTTGTAAAAATAGTTTTCAATTCCTTGGTACCACAAGACACCACAGGGTGCAGTCCCAGGTACCAGGAAAAAGAACTAGCATAAGCAACTGAAGACTTTTGTCCTAAAAGAAGAACCTAGAACAGCTCACTATATTAAAATGAGGTTGGGCCTGGCACCTGGTGATGGAGTGAGACTCTGTCTCAAAAAAAAAAAAAGGTTGGAGTTGTATATACAAATAGTGGGCAAATGCACGCAGGCACTTCTTGGACTTAAAGCTGTTCAGAAGAGAATAAACTTTCTAACTAGATTTTAGGGGCTAGACATAAAAAGTGAGCTGAGGAAATATCTAACAAGGGCTGCCACATAACCAGACTGTATTGTTAGACGTGGACAGCATTATGTTTGTTTTCTTATTCGTTTTTCCCCGAAATATCACAAAACACTAAAAGCAGGTGATAAATATTATGTTTTAAAGGTATTGCTAGAATGTTATTAAATATTCCAGAATGGGTAATACATATTCCAGGCATATGAACATAGGCATATTTATAGGGAGAAAATCAATTTTCTGCTGTTATCTAGAACTTATATTCATACTATTGTATGGTATCACATTCATTTCTCCGTGTCCAAATTCTTGCTTCCATTATGAAAGTCAGAGCTGGTTTGGTGAGGGAGAAATAGTCTCTTCTGTTTACTCTCTTATAATGAAAATCTTTTTCTCTTATTTGGCAGCAAGAATTCTACCTATATGATTGTGTGGAACTATAAACCTTCAATAACATGTGATACCTTTTAGTTAATGAAAAATAGTGTTATACTTTTATACTTTAGTTTGCAAAGAAGAGAGATTCCCTCATGGTACCTCAAGAAAAAAAGACTCTGGTAAAGCTTCATGTGAACTGAAAATGGAAAGCTATCAGGTGGCCCAAGGATCTTGAAGGAAAAGCTTTTCCTTCATCTCTGCGATGGGCTACATTATTTCTCTCACAGCATCTTTACTTCCCTTCTTGCATCTGCTCTGATCACCACTTTACTAACTGGCCGCCTCTGCCTATATATCATTTCTGTTTCTTTACAGGTCTGTATTGAACATAACTTCAGCTTTCCATAGCTCTTCAGCTCTACCTCCTGGCATCCTTTCCAATTTTCCCATTTCTATCTCACTCATTATTTGCAATTTTAGGTTTACAAGAATAAGAATGCTAGATCTAGCTCATCTGTTCTGTCAGTTTGTCTTATAGGTTTCTGCTAGCCTAAAGGTTGCCTATTCTTGAGTCAGGTACACTCATCCAAACACTACTAACTTAATCATCTAGTTCAAAACTTGGCCATTTTGGCAGAAATGGATAAGCAATTTTTCTATTTGAAAAAGCTATCTGCATAATAAGTTTTCAAGGTTTGACCTTTCCTGTAAACACTGTAAAAATGTTTACATCCTGTAAACTTTCGTCCAGATTTTAGTGCATTATCTTGTACGATAAATTTCTCTCTTTTATAATTTTTCTGTATTTAGAAATACATATTTTGGGGTGAAGTCAATTCTATGGTATTTCCTAGCTTAGTAGCTTCCCATCTACAAATAGAAAACACAAATAATCCTTAGTTGAAATATAAACATTTCAGTTTTAGTGAAGTATACCATTACCAACTTGTAATGGTATTACAAGTCATCACTCTGTATACACCAGAGTGACCCCAAATGCTCCATAATCTAGGTAAACTGCCAGGAAGTAGGCAAAAGGTTATTTAACTTCCAAACCCCAGGTCTTTGCTCTGATGGTCACTTCAAAATTCTACAATTCCAAACACCTTTGAAGGCATTCAGTTAAGGTCTCTGGCCTCTAGATGGCCCTCTATCTTTTGGGAATGCCTTAAGGTCCAGTTCATGAGGGAAAGTTAAAGCCAGTGATCTTTATGGGATAGCACAATTTACCCTGTATCTTTGCTCAAGGAGTTCTACAGGCTTCCTAAAGCATACTAGAATTAAAATTTTCTCTCTTTTGATGAGTCTCTCCAAAGCAAGGAGTAATACCTGTTTTACTTTTGCCCACATGTGACGGCACTTGATTTTATTCAACCCCTGGATTTCAGACATACCTTAGCATTTTGTGAGTTGTAGTTAAAATCCCAGCCACTCTAGGAATACAATCATAATCTCCTAAACTCTGTCCTCACCTACAACACAGTCCTTTTGGCTTTCAAGAACTATCTGCAATCAGGCTCAGATGTGCCATTCCTTTGTTATGTAATCAGATTAATCCGAAAGTGGAAAGTTATGTGTATTAAAGTGAGGAGAAGGATAGAGAAAGGTGGAAATGAAGAAAAAGAACAAATCTGAAAGGAATCAGAGAAACTTTATTCTGGTACTATTGTTTAGATTTCTAAAGGAAATGGAAAGATGTTTGGCAATGAGAGACGCCAATGTGATTTTTAGAAGATAGTTGTTTTCTTCAGCATTTAAAATTGTTTTTGCTTTGTTTCAATTTTCAAGATGATTATAGAGCTTGGGACATTCATAAAAGTAAACTTTATAAGCCAGAACAAACTTACCACCCCCCTACTGCGAAATTTGGAAATTCAACGATATTTCAGGATGATTTTGTTCCTCAGGAGATAAAGCCTAGGCAAAGCTTTAAACCTTCCTCTGTGGCCAAACGTTCTACAGCCCCTTTTAATGGTAATACAAGTCATCGCCTTCATTATATACCTCATCAGCTTGAACTCAAGTTTGAAAGGTCAAAAGAAGTTTACAGACCAACTGATCAACGCTTTGAGGATCTCACAACTCACCAGTGTGACTTTCAGGGCCTTGTTGGTGAAACTGCAAAAATCTGCAGACCTGTACACACCAGAGTGATGCAAAATGCTCAGTTTGAAAGAAGCACTGAATTCCGTGAAAGTTTTCAACCATGGGAAATCCCACCGCCTGAGGTCAAGAAAGTACCAGAGTATGTGCCTCCTACAGGTAGCATGCTGTTAAACAGCACAAGCCATCTTGACTATGTTCCGTATCTGACCAACTGTGTTGTTCCCATCAGGCCAGTTTCTCATAGAAGAAGTAACTATTTTCCTTTCCAAGGAAAAAGCACCATGAAGGAAGATTTTCCAGCATGGGAAAGTTGTCGTCAAGGACTTATTAGGAAGCAGCAGCAGCAGATTCCCAACCCATCTGGAAAATTTGATAGTTTGTGCACTTTCAGATCTCACTATGTGCCACATGAATTGATTCCAACAGAGAGTTGCAAACCTTTAAATATCGCTTTTAAGAGTTCTGTTCCATTTGATGATGTAACTATGTACTCTGTAGAGTACACACCGAAAAAACAGGAAATTTGCCCAGCTAGCTATGCCTCTCGTCCAGGTTATATTTTTGAAAACACAAATTCCTAAGGTCATAAATTCTTCTGCAAGATTACTCCAGCAGTAAAGGCCTTCTAATAACCAAATTGCGCTTAAAAGGAAACTACTATCAAGTTGTTGGTTTTCCAAGAGAAAACTCAATTTTACAGTGAAAAAAATTAATGATATAATAAATCATTTTTTAGATTTTTAAATGAGAAAATGTATTCTAAGAAATCAGAATCTTAAAACCATTTTGTATTGATATTTTAACCAAGACTGTTCTTTAATATGCATTTCGGAAGGTTGAATAATATGCATTCCCTATGAACTATTTTAATACTCAACATACTGCTTGGTAGCTTGTCCCCAGTCTATTAAAATTTGTAATTCTGTTATAATTATGGCAATGTATGTCATTTATCAGGCACACCAGGATTATTTAGAACATTGAAAATGATACATCGATCCCTCTTCCACGGCAATAGGGGTCATTTACTCAGACTTCAGGGTATCTACATAGCATACACTGAGTCAAGTTTTGGTTGCTGTATGTAGACTGCTGTACTGCTCTTCACCATGTTCAAGTTAGCAAGAGACATTGTTGGTGTGACAAGGAAAGGCTCTGTGTGCTGGGAATCGAAGGACTTGAGTTCAAGTTCTAACTAATTATTATTATTTTTAGAGACAGGGTCTCACTGTCAGCCATGCTGGAATCCAGGGGCGTGATCGTGGCTTAACCTCCTGAGCTCAAGTGATCCTCCTGCCTCAGCCTCC